CCTCGGCCTCCCAGAGTGCTAGGATTACAGGCGTGAGCCACCGCGCCCGGCCTGCTTTTTGCAGTTTTAAAGCTTGAGAAAGATGAATTTTTCCAAACTTCTGCTTCTTCACAAACTTCAGAAGTTTGGAGTCTTTAAAGACACCGAGGGAGGCAAGAGAGGGCCGTGGACAGGGGCATTCTGGAAACTTCCTAGAATGAGGGAGAAAATGAAAGAAGCCATGGAAACATCACACCACCTCCACCACCCCTCGGAAACGGCGTTTGTGGCGTTTAAAAGGCAGAACGGTAACCAGATAAAGATCAGTTTCCTTTTCATCTAAGAACAAAGAAGTTGGAAAATGCTTACACTCGTGCATTTGAATGGAACAGAAAGCGCTACATGTTCTAAACCACCAAAGTAAACATCCATTATGACAATGTAAAAGTGTAGATTACACGAGTAATTAAAAATCAAAATCAAGTTATTTGTTAATAAATGATTTCATGAGGGGCTCACGTTGGTGAGACGCCCCGAACCGCCTTCCCTTCCGTCCTCGTTCTGCTGTGGCCTCTCTCCTCGCGCTAGAACCTGAGCTCCACACACGGCGTAATTCTGTATTTTCAATTGACGTGGCCAGAGGACGGCGGTCCGTGAGATAAAAAACGCATGTTCTCCCAAATGCCACCGTTTGAAGTTTCTATATAATGGAGCCACGTGAGCGCGTTAGAAAACCCGGCGTGCAATATTAATAAATATGTTTTAATTGGTTTGGAGATGAGGTGGCTCGCTCTCTGAGTTTTTCTATCCCGCTCTGTCTTTATTAGAAGTCTCGATCACAAAACACTGTCTGATAAAAACCGCTTTCCTCTTTTTCTCCACCGCATTAACTCAATTACCGCGCTTCTCCTCGCATCTGTTTCTGAGAGAGGTCCCGAGGAGACACACCCGTCGGGTTGCTCCGAACACCTGGGGGCTGGGAAGACCCTGCAGGTAGTTAGGACGTGTCTGCCGCCCCCAGAGCTTCAGCCGGGTCCACGGGGACTGCGGGAGGCACCTACAGGACCCCAGGGGTCTCCAAGGCCGGTGAGACCCCCGAGGCTGCCTCGCTCACCCTGGGCCCAGGTGGGGTAGATGCTGGCTGCTGTCCAGCCCTGCCGGGGTGGAGCTTCTCTCCTCTTGGAAGCATCCCCCCAGGCCTGTTAGGACCCGATCGCTGGGCGTCGGCAATTTCTCTTCTAGAGCACGATGTCCGGATTCGAATTCGGAGCCAGTCCGTGCAGGCTCCAAAGGGAGACTGTGCCAGTCAGGGCTCTGCGGCGAAACAGAACCGGCAGGAGATAGATACGCAGAGACAGGCAGGTAGATTCGTTATAAGGAATTGGTCACGTGATTACAGAGGCTGAGAAGTCCCGAGACCTGCAGCTGGTGAGCTGGAGACCCGGGAGAGCCCCCGGTGTACGTTCCAGCCTGAGCCCAAATGGGGGAGACCGGTGTCCAGTTCCAAGACAGGCTCAGGGAGCAGGTTCTTCCTCACTCAGCTTTTTGTTCTATTCGGGCCTTCAGCAGATTGGATGAGGCCCGCCCACACGGGGAGGGCAATGTGTTTGACTCGGTGTACCAACTCGAATGTTGATCTCACCCCTAAACTCCCTCATAGGCACACCCAGAACAATCCAGAACAATCCAGAACAATCTAGAACAATCTTTAACCAAGTATCTGGGCACCCTGCGGCCTGGTCAAGCTGACACCCAAAAGATTAATCATCGCAGTACATCAATGAATGATACATCGACAAACATTTAGTCGTGACCTGCAGCAGGAGGCTGCGGTGTCCCTAAGGTGTCCCTCAAGGTCAGCCTGCCCACAGATGCGCCCCATCTTTCGGTCAACACCCCTCTTCTCCCCCTGCCCTGGGAAGCTCGTCCCCTGGGGACACTCTGGAGGGTCGAATGTGTGTGTTTTGTGTACAGGAGGCTGACAGGTCCTGACAGGCCGGGGATGTGTGTTTGTCCCCCGAGTCACCCAGTGGGTGTGACACCCCATGTGTGGGCTGCAGCGTCAGACTGTCATCTCAGGAATGACCACTGCAGAAAAATAT